TCATCTCCCCTGATTAACTGTTCATGTATAATGTTAGAGTTAATAATGTTAGAGTACGTACCAAACTTGAGCAGGCCGCAGATCCATATCCATTATATCTATGTCCCATAAATCAAAATCCACAGTCCAAATATACAAAGCAAATTCCTAGTATATGTAAATAAATACGGTAATAAAACCCATTCTGATTCTGAGTGCACATTTTAACTTTAAATGTAAATATGTTTCTATAAATATACATTTTCTATATTGTATTAGATATTTTAATTTCACTTCTTGCGTTAAAATAGATATCTTTATTATTATACTCTTTTGCCTATATTATTCTTTTAATTCTATTTGTGATGATTGTGATACAGTCAAAGTAGCTTTTAAACAGTGGCAGTGTGCAGATATTTCCCATGTCTCTATTTAGACATGTGAGACATATAGAGGCCGGATGTAACACTTGGAGCATTTTGTAGGAATTTATTTTATTTTGTCAGCAGTAGGAAAATAATCCCATCAAGGACTAACAGTGTCTTCAGTTCTCTCACCGACGACATCACTGATGGACTTAAGGTACTCGTGGGTCCGAGAGTTAATCTAATTGATGACGACCATCATCAGTGCTGCTTCAACCCCTCTTCTCTCCACTATAAGCAACATGTGTTCTCACCAATTCACTAAAAATCACAATATGGTGTACAGTTGTTGCGCCGAAGCATTATGGAAAAAGGACAAGACATCGGACTGTTCTCATTTAATACCAGGAATTGTACCATCAGAGTGTAGTTTGACAGTTAGACTCAGCCATTGTCTGATTATTACTACATTTTCCTTTTTACCTCTGCACCACAAACAACATACATCTCACCAGGTACAAACAACTTCTTCATAACTTAATGTGACAAAAGTAAGCAACTTAGCCTATATACTGTATTTAGGACCCTGTTGCACCGAGACAGTGTGAAAAAGTGATTTATTTTTGTCAAAAGGCACATTAAAGGGGACACTGAGTACACAGATGAACGTCTCTCCCCTCAAACTTCACCAGCAGAGTTTAATCTACCTCCATTTGTGACGGTTTCAACTGCTGCAAACAAATAAATGAATTAATTGGTTACTTATAAGAGTCCTGCTGCAAATGCTCAAGAGTGAAAATGTGATTTAACCTCAGACAGCAGAACCGTGACGATGTGCACATGTTGCAAGAATCAATGAATGTGTTACTGTGGGTTTTAAATTAAACTCATGACATCTAGCTGTGTCCCAGTTGCAAACTACCCAGCATGCACTTATCCTGCTTGACTAAAGAGTGATGTGGAGAAGGTGTTGTTGTGCTTTGCTCTGCACGGATCACATGATCACAAACAAAGCCTAAATCATCAATCTGCACACTGAAGTGTTGCATCAGTTTAAAAGTGATTTTTAAGTTAATGGTTGCTAACGCTTAAGGCGGGTTAAGACTTCTTTAATGCCCTTTAAATCAAATGTAAGACCAATTTTGCACTTTCACTCAGTCAGGATTAGCGATGTAAATGCTAGAGCCATTTGGTAAGTTATATATTAAAAAAAATATGTCATTATTCATTAACAATAATATAATTCTACCACCAATGTGTTGACATTTTAAAACATTTAAATACCAATAAAAGTCTTGTTTTTCCAGTAAATTACGATTTTTAAAGGTCAACATAACGCAGATTTCACCTTTACTGAACAAAATGTCGATGTGAGCAAACCGTGTTAAAGAAGTGGACGTAAACTCAGCCTGTGGACGGGACTTCTTTGTGATTGACAGGTCGCTACCATAGTGACCTATCAATCAGGATAGAGGCGTTGCAATGCAAATAATGGTCACTTCTGGTGCCCAAAAAACTAGATGAAAATGCAGAATATGACAAACTCCAGGCTTCAAAGGGCTTATCATCATTATAACTACGTCCATCGCTTACAGTCTATGGCAGGGTTAGCAGAATATTATAATTCACACTCATTATTTATCATAGTTTGACACAAATTCGAATTGTTTTATACAAGGTTATTCAGTAAAGACCCACATTTTGAAAGGAACAAACGCTTCATAACAGTTTCAGCTCAATGGCTTCTTATCAAGTCAGCTTTAAAGGGTTTTTACAGGAGACAGTCTCAGACTCTGGGTTTACTGTTTGGCAAATGACTTATGGTGATTTCAATTTCATGAAAATATGGGAATTAAGAGATATGACAACCGACAAAGGCCTTTAGGTGCTGCTTCATTATCCGATGTTAAAATCTTATTTTGACACTAAAATAAGTTATTTGTTACATGTTAAATGATTTTTGTTTAATCCAAATACCACACAGAAACTTATGATTACACACATTTGGAAAGCTTAAGAATGGCAAGGTGCAAAGCTACCCCACGATCGATGGACAATTTGCAAAATAAGAAAGGGTTTATTTACAGCTTGAAAAAATAAAAATAAAAAAGTGGACGGATCAGAAGTCAAGAAATGCGCACAAAATAAGATCATTGGCACCTTTTCTACCCGCTAGTTAAAGTTTTCAAATGTGAAATTAGTGTCAGGACACACCTTGAGTAATTCACTGTTTCTACAAAAACAGTACATTAGTTTCTTTGAAAAGGAACTTCTATAGAGCACGGCCAATCTGGGTACACAGCAGATTTGACAGTGTTACAGTATATAGTGAGAGCCTTCTCGGGTGTTAAGGTCTGCTCTGACACATTTTGGCATACTTTTGAAAGAAGGTAAGTTTGAGTAGACTTTGGATCTGTGCTGACCTCTAGAATATGTCATACAACTGGGATAATGCATGGAATAATCCCTACAATAATCTGAGTATAATAGAGTGTTGATGTGATGACATTTACTTACATATTCTAAATTCATACCAGGCATCTAACCGAAAAACACAATTTGAAAAAACGTAATTATGCTAACTCATTTCTGGTTTAACGACTCATTCCTGCACCACTTTATGCGTTTAGTTTGTTGGTATCAATATGCAGGATGTGTAAATACGTTTAAAGGAGGATGAGATGATTAGTTAACGCCTGACTTGAGATCTGAGCAGTGAAATCCTGCTGATATTGGAATGTCAGTAATCACCTGTGAGCATCGACATCTTTAAAAAACAGGTGTGCATTTGGGCTTTTTGGGGATGTACGATTATCCTCTGTTGTCCCATCAGCCAGGTTTTTCTCCAAGTGTGTCAACCCGCGCCCCGTGTTAGTTTGAGAGCCTCACACAGTCCGGGGGGGCAGCTGCTGTTTGTAGATCCCAGCCAGAGCTTTGGCAGCGCTGTGGATCATCTGGCGCTGCGTCATGCCCGTCATGGCCTGATGCCAGTCAGTCCGGTTGATGTTGGGCAGGCTGCGCTCCAACACCTCGCCCACGGTGACGATCAGACCTGACCAACGCAGGCTGTAGTCGGGGGGGGTCAGGGACTGGGCCTAAACAGGGGGGGGAGGTCAGAGAAAGGTTTGTAGGCGAGTGACATTTAATAATAATTATTACACAGCTTAGTTGTATACTTGTTTCTGATTGGTCAATTCAGAACATGTGACACGTTATTAATCCAGTAGTACAGACCGCTGTCAAGGACTATATTGACCGTTGCTAAGGAGGATCAAGAAAGAGCGCTGGACGTCAGATAAATCACCAGAAGAAGGCAGATAGGAAGTAAACACTAACACCTTAAAGGTGAGTAGCAGAATCTTGTAATCTATACGGTATTTGACAGGCAGCCAGAGAAGTTAATAACGTTTCGAAGGCGGATCAACTATGCTGCAACCACAGTGGTTAAAACTGTTTTTTCTGGACTCCACTGCTTTCAACTAACCCAAAATCAAAAATGTCTACTCTCAACAAAACAGTACAAAGTAACATAGAGGTAATCTAGAAGAGTGGGATCAGTGGCACTAATGGATGCACGATGCCAGAACCTAGGAAACTTATCATTATTTCGCTCTCCAAACAGCCCCTTACACCCCCCACAGGATAAGGGGGTACAGATAAAAGATGGGTTGATGTCATGGATAAGAGAGTATTGAATGTAAACGTTGTACAGTGACAGATGTGTACCTGTTGGATGTGATCCAGAGCCAGAGGAGTGGTCTGAGTGAAGACCTCGATGCGGATGCTGTGACCCGGGTCCTCCAGGATCAAACATCCGATATCAAACCACCTGCAGACAGAAGTATTTATAGCAGGGAGGAATATTGCACTCAGTAAGGAATGAATCTGAACAGCAGGTAATGCGATTGAGTATATATCGCTCCAAACTAGCCTCAGATATCAACATACTTCATTGCATCTCTTCTCCCATCAGCGTTTCTATATCTTACACACTGTTAGATATAAAAAAACTCTCCATATTTCAGAGATCTTCTCTCTTACCGGTCGGGGAAGAGCTCAGCGATGAAGTTTTCCAGAGAGACGACGGGCTGCTTCTCGTGGATCACACCAGCTCGACGCAGGCTGTCTATGCGCTCCTGAGCCCCCTGCACACACACACACACACACACACACACACACACACACACACACACACACACACACACACACACACACACACACACACACACACACACACACACACACACACAGGATTTCTGTAACCTTAACCATAAAACATCAACAGTGACACTAATAAAATAACTTCAAATTAAAAAGATAGGTTTTTAATTTAAAGTGTTAAGGTCTAAATTAGAGAACGAAGAACCTAGCAGAAGTGTGTGTGTTTGAATAATGGTTGAATCGGTCTTGATAGAAATGGCAATCCCTAATATACATACTGTCCCACTTTCACGGATGAAGTCGGCAACCTTATTTATGTATTTATTATAATATCTCTGCACAATGACTACTTTTACTTTTGGTATTTTAACAATATGTTGATACTTTCAACTTGAATTGAGTAACATTTTGATTGCAGTACCTTTACTTGTAACAGCGTATTCCTACACTCTGCTTTTGATTATCATGTTTCTGAAGAGGGCATTGATGTTGTGTCACGGCCACATTCGATCATGGAGGTCTTACCCTGAAGAAGCCCCAGAATCCCCCCCCAGCGTTGGCCTGGCTCGGCGCTCTGGGGTCCTCCTGCTCCTCGGGGAAGGTGATGGGAGATCCGTCGACTCCCCCCATCATCAGGGGCTGCTGGACCATGGGGTTCGGACCCATCCCTGGAGGATAACGTTATTATTAGTATGACTTTTGGAAGCACGTTTACAGTACTCTGGGGCTTCATGGAGCCATGCTTCAAGCACAAGACATGCTCCAAATATCTGGAACAAACTCCCAGAAGCCTGCAGGTCCGCTGCAACTCTGAACACTTTTAAATCCAGGCTGAAGCTTTTCTTTTTACCGCTTAACTATACATATCTCACACTGCACTGCAACTTGTATTCATGTAACCTGTGTTATTCTATATTAGCTTGTTTTATGTGTAATGCCCACACACACCTAAATACTGGGTGTCTGTATGGTATTGAAACTACTGAGCTTGCCTTACCTCCACATTCGTCAAATAAGTATTTACTTTATTTACATTGGAAATTGTTGCCTTCTTTAGAGTTGTCATTCAAGATTAATTATTTAATGAAATGGGGTAAATCCAATAAGATAAATAAATAACTTTGACATGATAATGTGGTTCACAACATCAGACACACAAGTAATAGAGGTGTGTGTGTGTGTGTGTGTGTGTGTGTGTGTGTGTGTGTGTCTCTCTCACCTGGCATGGCGTTGGGACTGGAGAATGTGGGCATCAGCGGTGTTTGTGGCGTTCTTCCTGCGTGACCCCGAGTGATGTCATATCCTGCGCTCATGGAGTAGTTTGAGAGAGGCGGACCCATAGGGGGAGGAGCCGAGAGGGGAGGAGGCGGAGCCATGGGGGAGGAGAGGGGGGGAGGAAAAGATGGAGATGGAGAGGAGAGGGGAGGAAATGGAGAGCTGCTTGTATAAGGAGAGGAGAGTGTGGAGGGAGGGGGGAACGGGGAGGAAAGAGAGGGGTGAGCTGCCATGGGGCTGCTGAAGGAAGAGATGGAGGAAACAGGGGGGAGATGGGGGGAGAAGGTGGTGGTGGACAGACCTGAAATATAACTAATTATGTTAGATCACAATCGGTTTTATTACCAAGTAGGTTAACACACAAAGGAAATTATTTACACACAATATAATGATGTGAGAAACTAATACTATAGTATATACTATATTCAAAGTGGAGTGCTGTGCAGGTGTGAAAAGAGACCTGTGTTTCTCCAATCAAATGCAATAATATAATATAATACATTATTTTATATAGATTATATATATATTTATATAGTCTTAAAGCTACAACCGGCCCTTTGAGTGCAACCATGATGCAGATGTGGCCCGTGATGAAGTTGAGTTTGACGCTGATATGAAGGACCTTTGATTTCTCATTCTATCGTCATTACATCAAGACTTTTGATTGATGCATTTTATTTTAAGTAAAATAAATAATTACAAAACAAAAAATGGTTTGCAGTGCATAGTCATGTAAGAGAAATCAAAACAAAAAATGACATTTACAACAACAACAACAGCATTAGCAACATAAACAGTCCCACATCTAGTGTTCGAAAAGGAGTGAGAAGAAGGATAACTTATTTAATCTCACCCCCTCGTCCCTAAATGATTTATTTATAATCTATAATCTGCAATAATTATCATTATTATTATTATTAATATTAATCTGTTTACCTGTTGATTGACATATATACATATGTACATACACACATACATACTAGGGATGGGAACGATTAATAGAATATTCAAAATTATTCAGGTTTCGAATATGAGAATATGAGTTATGAATATTTGTATTATTATTTATTTTTTTGGGAGGGGTGCCTAAGTTGATTACATATTATCAAATGGAATAATTCAATGTAATACGACAGTGCCATAGCTAAGTGTGTTAGGTCTAAAGGTGTGTGTTGCTCCGCTCACCGGTCCCTCACAGCGAGCAGAGCTGCTGATCCCTCTCTCTTGCGTCCGGTTATACTTCACTCGCGTTTATGTGCAAATCCATCAGATCTAGCTAGTTCTAGCTAATGCTATGGCTGCTGCCCCTCCCTACACGCAGATCACGCAGATCGAACTTTATTTCAGGGTCCCGACAAGTTGGTTCGTGTTCGTATGTTATATAGATTTGTGTTTCTTTTATTACTTAAATGTTTTGCCTCGCGTATTCGTTCTTCACTTTATTTCAACAACTTAGAAGTCAGCAATCATGCGTCCTAATTGGGAGAACTCCAGTCCGACTTGTTGTTCTACTTGTGTTTTAGTAGAAAATGATAACAAGACAAAATAAGAGTATATAATAACTGCAACGAGACAACTTCCTCGACACTGGAGTCACAAACAAGTAACGTATACTAACAGACTAAGGTATATTAGTCATGTAGTTTTTGGCGATTGAGTTATGGGGTTTGGACAAGTTTGACCGTAAAAGAAATATTGACATAGGGGACACAGGAAAAAACACAGGAGATATCCAGTAACGGACACAACAAACAGAGTGGGGCCGACTACTGGAAGTGTTTAGGATGACAATTAACAAGGGATATAACTGGGATACGAGACCATTCCCACAATAACTATTCCGCGGGGTTTTATTGTACATGAGCTAAATAATAATATAAATAATAATAATAATATAATGTGATCGATTACACGTCGACTGTTACTTCGGAACTTTGAACTTTGTTGGACTATAGAACGACACAAGAGCCCGAGAGTCCACATTTCGTCTCTTCTACGTACCTTCTTTCACCCCTAGCTCTGCTGCGGAAGGACGGTCGGGTGGAGGAGGAGAGTTACTAAGACGGTACGCGGGGGGCTACAGGCGAGCCAGTTCTGTAATAGATAGTTGACCTACGAAATGCGTGCTCGTTTGGACTAAAGAGCATAAAGAGGTCCTGACGAGGGACTGAGCGGAGGATAATTTTCAAAGAGACAAACTAGTCTTCTTTATCACTTAGCACCTCGCAACTGCTACAGGTCTGTAATTGGTCAACGTTGCCCTTAATGCGTCTCTTTTAGTAAAAGAGCTACCATGTCTCTTCCACCACAACACACACACACCACACACACACACACCACACACCACACACACACACCACACACACACACACACACACACACCACACAAACACACACACACACACACCACACACACACACACCACACACACACACAACAACACACACCACACACACACACACACACACACACACACACAATCCCTACCTAAACTTTCGTTTACATATAAGCTGGGTTTTTTTTGCAAATTGACTTTACTGTTTATAGTATTATTTTTTTCTTTTTCACCCCATTTTTTTTCTGTTTTTTTTTGTTCAACTTAAACTGTCTTTTACTTATTTGCGTCAAGTTTATTCATATCTTCTTGGTTCAGCTAAACAGTCTTTACATAACTTGACCACTAAGGTCAACACTTGTCAACCTGTCGATATCCCGGAATCCCATGGCATTGGGAATATCGTTGTCCTCTAGTTGTGTCTAACGTCGAGAAAGTTATGAGTAAGAACAAATTCTTATCTACTTCGTACGTACAGATTGTGACAAGTCCCCTCTCCGCTTACGCTAAGGTGTAGTGCCGGTCGGACATCTCTTTGCTCTGGGAGAGTCGACCCTTAGACCCGTATTCTA